GTCTGAGTTTATTTTAAGGGTGCTGGGGAACGTCATGAGGATAGGATGATGTTTTGTGAACTCTCCTAGACCAGCATACTGTGGGCCAAACACGGGTGTGATGCCTTCCTGTCCTGTGCCAGGTGCCTGAAGCGAGGGTTGGTGCTGGATTAGGAAGGAGCCTGGAGTGAGGCTGCTGCCATGCAGCTGCCGCTGGCTTGAGCAGTTCTTGAGTTTTAGCCCTGCCATTGTGCAAGTTGGTCTCCAGTTCACCTGGAAAGTGATTTATTGTCTGTGCTGCTTCTGTGGATGTCTTGTCTTGAAGCCTTTACATGTTAGGACTCATGGTAGCAGTGGTGCTAACGACATCCGTCTGGAAATCTCATTGTGTGCATCTCTGCCAGTAGCTGGTTCTCAAATCTTTAGGTGTAAGAAAGAGGCAACTTCAAGGAAGAATAAGAGAACAGTTATTTTCTTGTAATCATAAATGGCTTCAGTTATATTGGATGTGACAGCCAGGGGTGAACCTTTTGAAGTTCTTTTTTAGCAGACTTAATTTTATCTCACAAGTTTGTGCTTGAGGATTGGAAGCAGGTGACAGCATTGAGGCACTTGATCTCACGGAGAGGCCTCTCTAGCTCGGTTGACCTCAGAAGTGTTAGTAGTGAAACAGTAAGAATTAAATGCTTCTTGGGAAGACTAAAGGCTTCTCCCCTGAGCTCTTGGCCAGTCTGTGCCATACACGAAGGCCTGGGAAGTCCAGCTGTGTGTGTCTGTTTAAGTGCTTAATTGTGTAGTTAATACCCTTGTTTTTGCAAATGCTGGCTACAAAATACAATACTCCACTTGTATTTGAGTATATATTGCACACAGTACTTTCAGATAGGGGCTCCTAAGGATTCATTCCCTCTCAGAGGGGAGTGGAGGAGGTGGCGGCGTGTTTATATATCACTTTATGGGCACATTTCTCTGCACTGTATGCCCATCACAGGCTTGCCTGCTGGGCTCCCAGTGTCCCTGCACCTTCTCCCCCTAAAACATTCTCCCTAGCCAGTAGCCAAAGTAAATGCTTGCCTGCTTTCAGGTCCTTCCAAGGAAGGTGGAACAGCTCATATGGCAAAGAAGAAAAAGACAGTTGGAGTGAGGAGGATGAGCTCTTCTCAGAAGCGGGTAAGAACAGAGCCCCTGTTGCAGGTGTTAACTGATGATAATCCTGGCTTTGAGGCTTATTCACGGCTGTCTTTCTACCTTCTGTGTGACTGAATTTTGAAACCAGAAATCCTAAAAGCCCAAGAAAATGGGTAGCTGTCCAACTCTGAGACATTTGTTCTTTGTACCTCTGAGCTGAAATGCATGCCAAAAACTCCTGTTCAAGTTTCAGACTAATCATGCTTAGCTTACAGGATGTAAATACAGCTCTTTCCCCATTCCCACTTTAGTGCCATGAAATAAAGGTTAAGTCTACCTTTTCAGCCAGATCCATTTTCCAGTCCAGTCCCCTTTGCAGCTAGATACGCAGCTTAGCTGGTGAAAAGGAGTGGACAATGGGTGTCTAATTCCAGCCTCAACATACAGCGTAGCCACATCCTGGATGAATGCCCCTGTTCTTGACGTACTGGCTAGTTTAAAACAAAACAGACCTTATTGGAAAGCTTTCACATAAAGCAATTGGGCTTGAAACAGAAAGGCTGTGCATGCTATAGCTGCAGAAAAGGGAGGGATAAAGGAGTTTGGTTTTATTGTCTTGTCACGGGATGCTCTCATTGTAGGCTGACTGCATAGTTCAGCAGTTAAGCCCAAGGCAGTTTCTCGAGGAGGTCTGCACCTCCTGAGTTATGGTGAAATGTAATCCTCTTGCCTTGTTTTTCAGCATCATTTGCGACGAACAGCCACGATGCTACAGTCTTTGGTTCCAAGAAACAGGTAATGTGGAGCTCTTAAGTCCTTTTGGTAAGGCCTGAAATCAGGACATGTCCATATAAAAGAGCAAACTGTCAGACAATTTGAAATATATTGGTGAGGATTGCAGCTCAGACCACTTCCTCGGCAGCCTGCAGTTCACTACAGCAGGGCAAGCTGCTGCTGTGCTTTAAATGAAGCACCAGAGGCTGGCTTGGAAAGCGATGCTTCCTGAGGCCGGTGCTTGCAGTACCCAGGCTTGATCCAATTTGTGCAGGTCTTTGCATTCACAGAGCTGGCTGGAGTTTCTCTGTTAAAACAGCCCAGTTTGGTAGTTGGCTAAAGCTGCACGCCTCCCACACACCAAGCACTGGGTATGTGCGTGAAGTCCCTTTTCCTTGATGCATGTGGTTCAGAGCTAGGTTTGCCGAGTTTCCCACGTGCTAGAGAGGTTCAGCATCTTGTTCGGGTGAGGGACATGCAGACGGCAGCTATTACCTGAGAAGAAGTCCCAAGTTTGGTGCTACTAGGAGCTTGTAGGAAGATAGCTGCTACTCTTGTGCTGCTGTACACCATGTAGCACTTTTTTTCCCATAACTGCTTTCTTCAATTATTTTGTGTATGGTCTCCAGTACAAAAATTCAGGGGACCAGCAGACCTGAACTTGCAGATTATTTCTTTTTTAACACTCTACTTGTATGCTATTAGGTAGTGAGTATTTTGTATCTCCGATGTTTGCTCTTCCATCAAAAGGTAATTCCTCTTTGATGTGATCAGTATTGTGCTTTGGGAAGCAGAACTACTCCTGAGCTTGTGCTGGAGCTGGACACTTCTCTTACTTGTAACAGTTAGGAGAGCACATCTACAGTGAACCAATTATTGAGTGTTGTGTGTGCTACCTCTGCCTTTCCTCTATGTTACTAGCATGGATGATAAAGGGAAGCTAACATGCTAGGAAGGAGTTCCAGCACAGTTCCCTGCCAAATGCAACTCCTCCCTGAAACTGCACTCTGTACTCACAGAACAGTGCTTATATGCTCTTTTGTAGAAATGGACAGTACAAGAGAGCGAGTGGATCAAAGAGGGTGTGAAGAAGTTTGGAGAAGGGAGATGGAAGGCCATTTGCCAGAAATACCCCTTCCAGAACCGCACGCCAGTGATGATCAAGGATCGCTGGCGGACCATGAAAAAGCTGGGAATCCTCTAAGGCTGGGAGCCTGGACCACAGGACTTTCCGTGCACAAACCTTCTTACTTTTCTTTCGAAAGATGGACCAGAGAAATGGTAGCAGGGAGGCTGCTGTGCTTGTCCCTGATGTGTGTTGGGACTGGTGTGGTGAGCCCCTCTGCAGCAGATGGAAACCATGTCTGACAAGAACTGAGGAGCCTTGTGTCTTGAGCTGGAGCTGCTGTTTAGGTCTTCTGCAGTTTGCCAGAAGCTGCGCAGCCTGATTGCACACGCTCAGAAACAGCCTGGATGGGGACTTCCTTTTCCACCTGACAACTGCAGCCTTTGTAGAATGAATCCCAACCTGATGGGCTGCTGAAATGACAGTTTTCTCTGCTCAGATGCTGTCAAAGGGCAGGATAATCCCATCAGGGGCTATTTTTATGTGTTTTAATTGTCTACACTGTGAATTGCTTGTTTCATCTGTTTGCACTCAGTCCCCTGTGGGAGAGCAGCAGCACATAGGCCCAGAGCTTCTGGGGAGAAGAAGAGATTTAGGCAAGGCAATCTGCTTAGTTTTTTGGGTTTTTTTTCACACATTTCTTTCTGCTCTGTAAATGGCTAGTCTGCAAGTGGGAATTTCTCCCTCCTATCGTTGAGGCTTTAAAAACATTATTTTTTGTTTCAGTACTTAAAACATCAGTTGTTCCCACATTAAAAGTTCAAGTGCTTACTGATTTTGGTCATGTTTTACTGGCACTTCTCCTTCATGGTAAGGTCCTCCTCCTGTGTGCAATCCCTGCAAGCATATGAGCTCCAAGAGCACCGTGTGTTTCCTCCCTTCAGGTGCCAAAGCTGGAGTCCATGTCTGAGCGGTCTTCTGTAAAATAAAGTTCCTTTCTTGTTGTATTTCAGGAGTTGTAAGTGTGAATGAATACCTCGGGGGCGGAAATGCGGCAGTTTGGGGTGCTGCCTGCTTGCTGCCCTGCTGGGCTATGCATCACCCCAGGATTGCGGGGCTCCCCCTTTGCTGGCCAGGGCTGGGGGTGTTGTGTCAGCAGCTGTTCGGGGTGGAACAGCGATGCCCTGATGGTATGAGGTGCTGCCACATTGGTCTCGGCATGAAGCAGAAGCTTCTGGACTAGACTTCTGTTGAAGGACACGGGAGGTATGGGGGGGCATTTTCTAAAAGCAGCCCCTCTTGGCTCCATTCCTGCAGAGCCAGGGCTGGGAGAAGTCTCTCTGGAAACACCTGCTTTCCCCTCTGTCCTTCAGCAGCAGCTGCTGCAATGAGCTTCCCTTCTCACCTGGCTGTGGCTGTGCGTTTCCCTCCCCTTCTGCCTGTAAAACTGTCTCCATGGGGTCAGAGCACCCCAGCCTCTGCAGAGGCCCGTTCCAGGGCGAAGAGGCTTGACGTGAGCTGCAAGCTGGAGCAATAATTGCCAGTGTGAGGCAGTGCCTGTTGGTCATGCCGGTGCTGTGCCCAGGTGGGAGATGCATTCGTGCTGCGTGGGTCCAAGCCCACTCTCCTTCTCTGTGCCAGGATCCAGCTGCAGGCTGCGCGGAGAGGGTGTTGCAGCCCAAAGCTTTACTCTGGAAGTTTCTTGGAGTAAAACATTTTTCCTGCTTAATTTGCTTGTTCACAAGATACAGACTGGCAGAGCGCTGGTCAGCGAGAGGAGCAGGGCTGGATGGGGACTGTGGTGCTTCTTTGCAGCAGCCTCAGCCTCTGCAAAAAGGTTCAGCTGGGTGAGCTCTAACATGGATGAGCCAGACCGGCTCCTGCTCTGCACCGAGATCACCTTCAGGAGCAGAGCCCATGCCACGCTCCTCCCGACACCAGCCCCAGCTCTGCCGCGTGCCGCTGCAGAGCGGTTAATAATTACCCCTGCCACCTCGGGTGCCTGCTCCTGCCCTGCCCTGGCCGGAGGAAGCGCTGGAGGTTGGGAAGCAGGATGCTGCTGCTGGCATTCCTGGTGCTGCTGAGCCCCGCCGGCTGCCCCGAGACGAAGCCCCTGAGCGGGTCCAGCCAGGATCCCCTCTTCCGCGGGGCGGATCGCTACGACTTTGCCATCGTCATCCCCGCCGGCACCGTGGAGTGCTTCTGGCAGTTCGCGTACCAAAGCGGCAACTTCTTCTTCAGCTACGAGGTGAGTGTTGCGGGATGCATCCCGGGAAGCTGTTGGCACAATGCAGCTGCTGATGGGCATTGGGGAATGGTGGTGCTGGATCAGTCCTGCACAGCAGCTCTGCAGCCGGTGCCAGCTGCCGCCTCCAAGGGTGCAGCAGGTCTGGTGGTGGGCAATCCTCTGTTGCCTTAGTCCTGCGACCAGGCTTCGGTGCAGAAGGAGACCCACTGCCTCCAGGGCAGAGGCAGTTTCCCTTGCGTGGGGAAGGTCCTCAGTCAAGACAGGGAATGGTTGCAGTTGCTTGGATGCTTCATCTCAGGGACCGTGCTTTTTTAGGCAATTTCCAGCATCAATCCCATTTATTTTTTAAAATACATGTTTTAAAACCATAGAAAGTGGTGCCGAGAGCTCCGGATATGGTCCCCAAGCACCCAGAGCTCGCTCGCAGAGAGTTGTGGGGTGTCCTGGCGCTGCAGGGAGCTCTGCCCTTCGCTGGGCTGGCTGGAGGCTGTTGCACAGCCCTTGGCTCTCCCCTGAGCTGCAGGTGGAAGGCACGCTGAAGGTCTTGGGCACAGCCCTATCTGCCTGTCCCTGTGCTCCCTCCTCTTCCCACAGGGAAAACTAGAGCCCTTTTAGCTCCTGTTTACACTAGGCTGGTTGAAGGAGAGCCAGGGCACGGCCGTGCCCGGCACTGACAGCTTCTCCCCCAGCTCTGCGCTCGGCAGAGCGGTCCCGCAGGAACACGGCACGGCCCTGGGGCTCGGCACAGCTCCATCTCCCAACACTCCAGTGGCCAGCAGCAGCAGCAGTGCCGGCAGCATCCGATCCAGGCGGCAGGGAGCTGGGGTGGGAGACGTGGGGGTCTGTGCAAGCACCTGCAGCACTGTGAGCGGGCATTGGGAACCGTGGGGTTCATTACTCAGGGCTGTGGGTTTTTCTTTTACGTGTAGCTGGCAGCTCACTGGAGGCTGTTCCTGGCCTTGGCTCACAGTGACGAAGGAGGGCAGCTCCAAATGGACCCCTCAATAGACACGGGTCCCCGCTGGGTCCTTGTGCCGCACACGAGTGCTCCTGTGGGCTCCCCTCTGTTTCCTGGGTGCAGAGTCAGGCCCACGAATGCCCCTCGGGTCTTTCCTGCCTCCAGGTCCAGCGGGCGACAGGGATTGCCACCAACAGGGACATCCTGGCCACGGCGAGCGACCCCAACGGCTTCCAGCTTGGCATTTCCCAGCATGTGCGAGGACAGATCAACTTCCTCACGAAGGAGACAGGTCTCCACTGCCGCGGTCCCTGCCCAGCCCACCTGCCAGCTGCAGGCAGGCAGGCACGGCAACTCTGAGCCTGCCCAGCCAGCCAGCGCTTCCCAGAGTGTTGATCAGTCTGATCACACCTCCCTCCCTAATAGGGAGGATGAGGGTCGGGCGCTGGGGACAGGTCTGCCTGGCAGCAGCATTTCTACTCGGGAACAACAATCCCCATTTGTCTCTGCAGGTTTCTACCAGCTGTGCCTGGACAACCAGCACAACCACTTTGGCTTCATGCAGGTCTATCTCAACTTTGGTGTCTACTATGAAGGCTTCAACACAGAAAACAAGCAGCCGCAAGAGAGGAAAGAACTGAACAACACCCTGGAGGCAATCGGGGTGAGTGTCAAGGCAACCACAGGGTGCTCCAACACAGCAGGGATGGGCACATCCTCCCAAGGGAACCGAGAAGGGCGTTTGCCATTGCCTGAGCTGCAGCTTAATTTAATGCTGAGCCCAGTGGGCAGGTCTGAGAACGGCTCTGCCAGCCCCAGGCTCTGCCGCGGCCCCGCTGCCAAGCACCCACCTCTCCCACAGGTCAGCATCCGGAAGCTACAGATCCACATCTTCCACATGTGGCGGTTCTACAACTTCGCCCGGATGCGGAAAGGGGCCGACTCCTTCCTCCTGGAGTCCAACTACAACTATGTCAACTGGTGGTCAATGGCTCAGAGCTGCGTCATTGTCCTCTCTGGGGTGCTGCAGCTCTACTTCTTGAAGCGCCTTTTCAACGTGCAAACCAATAGCAGGCAGAAGTGCTAGCAGTGCCCAGAACTGCGGGCAGGACCGCTGCCTGCAGCGCTCAGTAACCAAGCTGCCTCTCTGCCCCTTCACAGAGTGGGAGAGAAGGGCAGACCCTGCTTTGAGGAGGAGGAAAGAGAGCTCCCCCTGCTCCTGCCTCCAGCTCTAGCCCTGCCTCAGCTGAAACCACTCCGACAGGAGAAAAGCACAACGTGATCGCCTCAGCTTCGTGAGCTGCATCAGTTTGTTACACGCCAACCCACCATTACGGTGTCCCAATGTGCCTTTTCTACCAGACGCCCAATAAAGGAACCCTTGGCACACGCTATGGGGAGTGACTGCAGCCTGCTGCCTGCTGTCCATCCTCTGCAAGCCTGGGCAAAGCAAGTCCTGCCTTTCAGGCAGCTGCCTGCTTGCTCCCTCCCTCCCTCCCTGAAGCTCGGCAGTCAGCCTCTGACAGCTCAGCCCCAGGCTGCGAGCCTCCCCCCGGCCTCATCTGCCAAACTGAACTGAACGCGGCGCTTCTCCCCTCTGGAGTAGCACCCCAGTGTGTTGCGCTGCCCCAGGGAGGCAGAGATCAGCAGCAGGGGTGAGAGCTGCCCACCCCCCCCCCGAGGCTCCGCACTAGACAACAGCCACTCTGGGAGAAGGAACAGGTTTTATGTGACAGCAGGGACAGGTCTGGCATGGGGGGAGCTCCTCCTCGTGTTGGCAGCAGCCCCCCCTGGGGTTGTGGGGCTACGTGCTGGTGGCTCCCAGCCCCTCTGCCCCACTCGGAGTGGGTTCCTCATGGCTCTCTACGCCGCTACTGCACCAATAATGCAGGACAAAGTCTGTTCTGCCTAGGAACGCTCACATCTTTGGAGTGCTGGAGTTCCCTTAGGTCAGCGTGTCCTCATTCCGCACGTACTCCCCGACGTCAGCCTGGTGGAACACCACGATGGCCATGGGGTCCACTTTCCGGCACTCCTGTGTGGACTTGGCGGCCACTCCAAAGCCCTGGGGGGGGATGAAGGGGAGGAGGTGAGAGAGAGTTTTCCCCCCACCTTGTACCCATACCCCAGCCCCGGAAAGTGCAGGGGCCGTGCCGGCCACTCACCAGCGGGACGTCGGCCATGGAGAACACCACCACGCCCTGGTACTGGGCTGTGTTCTCTGTGATGCGGCCCAGGCCTGACTTCAGGACGTGGTTGCCATAGAGGAAGGACTGCTCCGAGCCGGGCTTCACCCACACCTTGTACTGCAAAAGAAACCCGGAGCAAGTGAAGGGGCTGGCGGGGGGGGCCTGGCACGGGGCAGGGGGGAGCCGGCTGGGGGTCGGGGCGGGGGACACACACCATGTCCCACCTTGGCATAGGGTGCGAGGAAGTCCAGGGCCGTGACGCTGAGCCGGAATTTTTGCGTCTTGGTGAACTTTCCGAAGCAGGTGCCCAGGGACACCAGGCTGTCCCGGGGGATGCTCGCAGCCACCTTCAGCAGCTTCTCACTGAGAAGAGAGCAGAGCTGGAGTGGCTCCAAGGCCCCGGACCGGGACCGGGACC